GRGAGTGCTGACRTCCTCATGTGAAGAGATTCCTGTGTGAYAGAACCTAAGAAGTGTAGCTTGGAAGTGACCCCTGTGACGATGACGTTTCTTTCTTTCCTCTTAGTGAGGAGGTGATTTGTAGACCCTGACTGCCTATGTAATGTAAATAGTGTACATTTAATTTATTGCTATGGTAGCATATTGTATTTGTTAATGTATAAAACAAATTCTAAAAGGTTGACAAATGTATATTTTGTTGCTTAAATGTGTCTTTGCAGAAATTGACAATAAATAACATATTTTGTGTCCATCAGTGTTCCAACTTCTTTTGCGGGTGGCCCCAGGCCTGGGTACCACCTTTCAGTTCACTGGAGGTTGCATATTAGCTGGCCTATGGATCTGTTAACTTTGGCTTGAAAATCGTTGAAGTTTTTTTTTAAGATGAGTCATCAATGTTTCAAAACTAATCACAACTTTCAAAAATATACCTAGAAATTTCCACATAAAAATCTCAATTTTCTGTTTCTCTTAAAAAATCAAATGCTGAATCTACTTGTCAGGTGTGAATTCATCAGAGCTCACTGGAGTCTATCTTTTTTGGGTGGGACCTGATTACACCACAGTTTTCACCATTCTTTATTGTCCACCTCTGGACCATTTTACTCTTTCCCATTATTTRTTTGCATCTATAGGTATGAGTTTAGACCCTGATATTCACTGATTTATCTCTATCCTGCAGTTTTCTTCCTTTTTCCAACTTTCTCAAATTACTGATTCACTTATTTAAGGATTCTTTCATAACTAAAAAACCTCTGTTCCTGTCCTTCTTTGACCCCCAAATGGTCACACCCCCCCTTTTTAAAAAAATATTTTTAGTTGTGAATGAACACAATATGTTTATTTTATTTTTATGTGGTGCTGAGGATCAAACCCAGTGCCTCACACATGCCAGGCGAGTACTGTATCACTGAGTCACAGACCCAGCCCCGGCCATACTCTTTTATACACTCTGCTTTACACTGTTTGGGTCTAGATATAGAAGTAATACCTGTAAACAATTTTTTTTTCTTAAGAAGACTGAAGAAAAGGAACAAATCTTTGAATATCTGATAGGGATTCTTTTTGTGATCCTGGGCAAATTACTTCCCTTGATTTGCATTTTCTTTTATGTATATTCATAAATCTAACCCATGTGTAAAGCATAAAGATAAAAATGAATTCATAATTGGAGAAGAGCTTTGAAAAAATGGCAAGTATTATTTAATCACCAGAAGTTCAATAATAATGATGATAACCATGGTACCAGATGACATTTATTGCGAGCTGACCATGTGGTAATTGTTTTACATATGTAGTCAGTTTTGTTATGACATTCTAGTTCCTAAAAATAACACTGCGTGAAATCATGCAACCACAGGACTAATGGGAAAAAGTGGGGGTAGGTGCATAATACTCAAAAACTTTATCAGTGACACATAAACATAAAAGGTTATATTTATACCATACTTAATAAAAATGGTAATAATTTTGTACATGTTGATGGTTAGGAAATACATAAATATTATAATACATAAGGCATTTGAGCTTGAAAAAGGCCTGAAGTTTGATTGTGGAGGTGGGTGTTAGAAGGGTTGTCACTTACGAATTATTATGAAGATGTAGAGGGGATTTTTTTCTGAAATTGGATGGGTGATGATAACACCAGATATGGATGGGTGTGGCTGTAGCACACACAGTATGTAGAGGTAGGTGATAGATGTTTGAGGTGCATGTATGTTTTGTGTGTGCCTGTAAAGTTCAGTTTAGCTGGGTCCAGTTTTCTACTTTCACATATTTCTCATGGATGAATTGTGAAATCAAAAGTACAATTTGCATTACACTCAAGTTATTCCCTATTATATCAATTGTGTTGGTGTATTTATTTATTTATTGTGGTATTGGAGATTAAACCCAAGGGCACTTTACCACTGAACCATGTCTCCAGCCCTTTTTATTTTGAGTCAGGGACTTACTAAGTTGACCAGGCTGGCCTTGAACTTGAGATCCTCCTTGAACTTGAGATCTGGTACCATKGTTATCCTCCTGAATAGTTGGGATTACAGGTGTGCATCATCACACTCAGGGAAACCCCTTCTTAAAACAAGTGTCATAACAGAACTGACTCTATTCTCATTTACTTATCCAAACAACCCATGAACATATGTTATTATTTCCATTTAACGTAAGGGCTCAGAAGCAATTCAGTTTGGAACCCAAATCTAGTAGGCTGATGTCAACATGAAGGTAAGTTCTAGACTGTTGGGGGTTCTGAATGCATACAAATGCTCCAGGTAGAGTGCATACCAGTTTTCTCTGGTTTCCCTGCCCAGTTGGCAGTCCCTGTTCTGGAACCCATGTCTGTACCCTTCTGGGCTGGGGCTATTCTACTCATGTTAAGCAGCACCTCTCTGAGCCTGTAGTGTAAGGCTTCCTATTTCTCAGCATTTTAGATTCCTGCTGTTCTATCACCATGGCTGCAAGTGAAGCCTCGTCTTTCACACAAACACTCCAGGTCTGTCTGTACCTCATGGTTTGGCTTTTCCTGGGTTCAGCCTTTCTTTCCAGAAGCTGAGATGTCACTTATGGCTGGAGGATTGTAGAGATTGAACACTTCTTGTCTGTGTGAGAAAATGCTGTAGGGGCATGGATGCCATTCAGCTGGGCCAACAATTGTCTGTCCAAATCTTCAGACCCTTTTAATGCTCTGAAAGCTCACGTGCTACTCTAGGAGTCTGTGTTCAGATGTTCTCTCTCACCGAGTAGACACTCCTCTAGGATGAGGGCTCAGTCTTAAGACTCTGAAACCTGTTCACTGACCTCAGGGTCCAACAGCTTACAGCAGTCATTGGTGTGTGTTGGGGGATCATTCTGCCTTCTGCACAGGGGAAGGCTTTGCTGAGGAGTATGGTCAGGCTGTGCTCAGGTTTCCCCCGAGTCTTATTTTTTGAGTGCCTATTGTGTCCTAAGATGCTACTGACCAGCTGTGTGCTGATCAGCCTTTCTCTGCCCTCTGGGCTTCTGAGTCCAATAATGACATCATAGTCTATTTCTGTAATGTTGCACTATCAGTTATTAAACCAATCCCATTTCATTCATGCCCAGTCTTGTTTGTTTTAAACATCACATTCAATTCAGAGCTGTCCCCACCAATCTTTGGGGTAGGCTGGCCTGGTAAGACCAGTCTTTTGCTTTGGGACTCCCTTGTTGACTGAAGTTTACTCAGGCTCCTGAGTCTCTTTTTGGCTCAGTCTTACCCTTAAGCCCAGTTTTAGCTAAGAGTCCTGCTAAACCAGTTGGAGAATTCCCTAGCCTAGATATACAAACCAGGTGCTCACCCTTCACTCTTGATACCTAACCAAGTTCCTCTTGGTAATTTTACACTTTAGAAAGTCACCCTGAAAATTGGTTAGAAATCCTCACTTGTCCCTGTTATGTTCAAAGTTGGGTTCAATCTCTCACCTCTATCTCAATGGTTTGGAATAAATTCTTCCTTGCCTGTTTAACTCTGGTGCAATTTTCCTTTGCTAAGTGGTTGGTCTGCCCTCCCACCAACACTCCCTAACTCTTCCACACTTCCACATTAGAGAGGAGGAGGGCAAAAGAGACTTCTTGTTTTGGGACTGTCCCTGGAAAGACACAGGGTAGTTTGCATACTCTGAGAAGCAGACACCAAGACCGGAGTGACACATTTATTAGGGGAAAGACCCTTGAGAAAGTGAGGAAGGAGCTGGAGAAGGTGGAAAGCTGCCTCCTGTGAGG